CCCTAAACCCTAAACCCTAAAACCCTATACCCTAGACCCCCTCGGGCTCAGGGCCCTGAGCCCTGAATCCTTTCAGGCCCGAGGCAAAGATGGAAGTGCTTGAAGAGCATCTTCTCGGCCGCGCCACGGGCGAAGCCCATGCCTTAAGCTTAGGGTTTAGGGCTTAGGGCTTAGGGCTTAGGGTTTAGGGTTTAGGGTTTAGGGCTTAGGGCTTAGGGCTTAGGGCTTAGGGCTTAGGGTTTGGGGTTTGGGGTTTGGGGTTTGGGTTTAGGGCTTAGGGTTTAGGGCTTGGGGTTGAAAAATGAAGCGTTTTTCGTGGTGGGAATTGAGGGCGGCAGCCCTAAACCCTAAAAAGCAATGATTTGGGTGGTGGCCTGTGAAAGCTCACCGCGGGGGGAAAAAGAAACCTAGCACCAATGAAGTTGGGCTGCAGTGGAAACATGCCACTTCGCGTGACATGCCGTCCCCCCCCCCCCCCCACACCGGGTGTGTCGGGGGCCCGTTTCCTCACGGTACTTGCTGCCGCTGCGTGGAGAGACACCCTAAAACCCTAAACCCTAAACCCTAAAGCCCTAAAACCCTAAAACCCCTAAAACCCTAAAACCCTAAATTCCTAAAAACCCTAAAACCCTAAAACCCTAAAACCCTAAAACCCTAAAACCCTAAAACCCTAAACCCTAAAACCCTAAAAAACCTTAAACCCTAAAACCCTAAAACCCTAAAACCCTAAAACCCTAAACCCCTAAAACCCTAAAACCCTAAAACCCTAAAACCCTAAAACCCTAAAACCCTAAAACCCTAAAACCCTAAAACCCCAACCCCTGAACCCTGGGTTCCCATTCGATGACTTCCTTCAAACCTGCCTGTTTATCTTCAACCTAAACCGTCAATACGGCTCCCAACCCAGCTTCAACACCCGGCCGTCCTAAATCCCCACACCTACGTTTTGTTTGTTTATTTTTTCCATACTAGGTTTAGGGTTTAGGGTTCAGGGTTGAGGTTTGAGGGCTTCGGGTTCCTCTCTAGGGTGTAGGGTTGCGGGTGCAGGTTCGACCTGCCCGCGCCCTTATCCCTGACTCTCTGCGCCCCATGAGCTCTCGACCCCATGTCCCTCGTAACTTCCGCAAACCTAAACCTCAACCCCCCCCCCCCCCAGCTCCTACGCCCCTAAACCCTAAACCCTAAACCTTAAGCCCTGAGCCCGAAACCTCTCTGCCCCTAAACCCATCTGAACCCTAAACCGACATCAAGGCCCTGGCGATCGGTCGGGGTCTCCATGACCTGTAGCTTTGGGTTCAGGGCTTCAGGCCTTTTCAGGTCTCAGGCAGGTTCTTTAAGGTCCTGGGGACCCCAGGGTCTTCGCGTCTTAGGGTCCCCGGGTTTGGGATGTTAGGGTCTCTTCAAGTTTGGGGGGTCTTGGGGCCTTAGGGGCTTAGGGCCTGGGGGCCTTCGGGCTTTGCTTGGAGGTTCCTGTATAGTTGTAAACGGGGTATTACAAGCAGGGGCAACTATAATCATAACTATACCATGAACCTTCAAGTCACCCTAAAGCCTGAACCCTAGCCCCTAAACCCTAAACCTTCGGGTTCTAGGTTGGCCCAGTGGGCTCATGGCTTGCTGAGCAAGCGGTCCTTGTAGGGACTCGGGTGTAAGGCTTGGGTTTTGGGGTTTTGGGTTCGGGTTTAGGGTTTGGGGTTTGGGGGTTTAGGGTGTTAGAGTGTGCCGGGTTTATCGGAATGTGCTTTTTCACTCCGCGCATCCCAAAAGGACGACACGCACATAAGCTCACCAATATTACTATTCGGACCCTACATACACACACCAAATAACAAAAAGTACAACCCCTACCTCACATAACCCCCATCAACCTGAACTTTGAAGCAACCTTGGCCCCCGACGTGGAAGAGGTCTGTCCGGCGCTCGAAGAAGCTAAGCAAGCTCCAAGTCAGATCCTTTCAGGTGATCAGCGTGTCCGGGATTTGGATTCATGGGCTCGTTCTGGCGGTTCGCTTAGATGAAGCTTAGGGTCTGGGGATTCGGGGGGGTGCATGATTCTGCTCTCGAACATACTGTGCATCCGTCTCTAAATAAAGGGGCTTACGGGGTTCAAGGGGCTACGTCGCTTTGCGGGAGCTTTCAGGGGGGTTGAGGGTTTCCTAAACCCTAAACCCTAAACCCTAAACCCTAAACCCTAAACCCTAAACCCCAAAACCCTAAACCCCAAAACCCAAAACCCTAAACCCTAAACCCTAAACCCTAAACCCTGCCGGCCTCCACATTGCCGTGCTTTCGCGCCATGTTCATCAACCTCGGTATGCGCCCGTACTCAGGAATTTTAACAGGGTTTAGGGTTTAGGGCTTAGGGCTTGGGGCCCGAAGCTCTAAACCCGCAACCGACGGTTGCTGGTCAATTTCCTGGCTTCGGGATCAAGAAGATTGAAAGTGCAGGGTTAGGGTTTAGGGTTTAGGGTTTAGGGTTTAGGGTTTAGGGTTTAGGGTTTAGGGTTTAGGGTTTAGGGTTTAGGGTTTAGTCAAAGGAAGAATAAGGAGCCTATAAAAAGCGTGCCCCTATCATATAAGAGGTTGCGGTTGGGTCGGTGAGTGGCTGGTGAGTGGCATGTGAGGCACATGTGAGGGGATGTCTCAGGGAAGAGCAAATGAGAAGCTTGTAAGGTCAAAAAGGGCTGAGGCTTGGCTATCCTGTGTAAGCGTGTTTTTGCGTCGACCCTGTCTTTGAGTAAGCTCTCGTGAGAATTCAACCCGATCCAGGGGTTTAGGGTTTAGGGTTTAGGGTTTAGGGTTTAGGGTTTAGGGTTTAGGGTTTAGGGTTTAGGGTTTAGGGTTTAGGGTTTAGGGTTTAGGGTTTAGGGTTTAGGGTTTAGGGTTTAGGGTTAGGGTTTGAGGGGCTTAGGGGCTTAGGAGTTGAGGGGTTTAGGGCTTAGGGTTTAGGGGTTCAGCCCCTGGGATTTAGAGGATTAGGGTTTAGGGTCCAGGTCCCTTGATGCGGTATGCCTGGGGTTTAGGGTTTAGGGTTGAGCAACTATAGGTTCCCAAGCTAGACCAAAAAAAGGAAGAAAGGGTGCCTGTCCTGGGCTTAAAAGAAGCCTAAGCGTAAACCCTAAACGGAAAATTCCCAAACCCTAAGCCCTAAACCCTAAACCGTAAACCCTAACCCCTAAACCCAAAACCCTAAATCCTCAACCCTAAACCCTGAACCCTAAACCCTAAACCCTAAACCCTAATAAGGGTTCGGGTTTGCCACCCGGGCTTCCCAGCAAGTCGTCGAAGCGTCCATCCGCCATGGCGCCGGCGCGCTCGGCGAGGAGCTCGGGCACTTTTTTGCTCACGGGATCCCGACTCCCACCCCTATGTAAGGTTGCGAAAGAGGGTTTAGGGTTTAGGGTCTAGGGTTTCGGGTTAGGATTTAGGGTTTGGGAGTTCTGGCACAAGTTGTGGGGTACACTTGCACTGGGAGTGACGTTGGCAACTATGTATCTTCCCAAACGGGCTCTTTGAAAGGGTCTGCCTTATACTGCTAGGGTTTAGGGATGAAGGTTTGAAGTTTCGTGCCTAGGGGCCCTAAGCCCTAAACCCTAAACCCAAGATGAGCTCGAGAGCTGGCAAAAGGCGCTGGCGGTCTCGAGGATTGTTTTAGGGTTTGGGGTTTGGGGTTTAGGGTTTAGGGTTTAGGGTTTAGGGTTTAGGGTTTAGTGTTTAGGGTTTGGGGTTTGGGGTTTGGGGTTTGGGGTTTGGGGTTTGGGGTTTGGGGTTTAGGGTTTAGGGTTTAGGGTTTAGGAGCTGCAGCAGCAGAGCCCAAAATACCCCTTCACTGAGGCCTTAATAATTGGAACAGGGCTTTTTGGGGGTGTTATTGTAGCATAATTATTATAAAGGGCTCCTGGGGCTTGGGCATCGGGTTTGGGGTCTAGGATTTCGGGTTTGGGGCTTGGGGCTGGCTTAGGGTTCAATAGTAAGCCCTAAGCCCTTAGCCCAAAACCCGAAACCCCAACCCCTAAACCCTAAACCCTGAACCCTAAACCCTGAACCCTACATCTAGTTCGTTGGCTTCCTTGACTGGGGGAATTTGGGGTTTTTCGAGGAGTGTCGGTTCAAGGTGCAGGGCACTAGGTGCTTCTACCGGTCGCCCAATCAAGGGCCTAAATTCAGTGACCCAAAAACCTAAACCCTAAATCCTGACCATGTAAGTACCCTACTAAGATTATGGAGTCTAGACTTCGGGCGACGGGCGGAGGGCTTGATGGGGCCTACAGAGTTAAGTCTTAAGCCTTTTAAGCTTCAGGTTTTTGCTGGGCCTAGGTGAGTTCCGGGTATCAAAGGCTTTGGGGTTTAGTTTAGGGTTTAGGGTTGCGGCTGTGGGGTCGAGGGCTGAAGAGGCTTTTTCTGAAGCCCCCCCAAAAAAAGCATGGGAGTGAAGGGTCCAGACTTAAATTCCTGACGTGTCGTCTCTCCTTAAATCCTAAACTCGAGCTAAGAGCAACCTAGGAATAAAAAAAAGGTACCCATGTTTGCTTCAAGGGGCTTGCAAGGGAACCTAAATCCAAAAAAGGGGGATAAGGGTCGCAGTAAACCTAACTAAAACCCTAAACCTTGAATCATCTCTCATGCACAGACGCAACTGCGCCTGGGTGGCTTCCCAGTTCTTCGTTTGGGGCGTGGCTTTACTTGGAGGTACTACCCAAGTAGGCCTCTCAGTACCCCAAGTGATAACCCTGCGTATAAATACCCTCAACCTCCAAGAAGGGATCAGAGCTTAGGGTCTCAGGCCGAGGGTGTAAGGCGTAGGGATGCTAACGGTCAGGGTTTGGGAGTTTGAGGCTTTAAACTTAAGGTTCAGGATGGTTGAGGGATTAGGGTTTAGGGTTTAGGGTATAGGGTTTAGGGTTCAGGGTTTAGGGTTTAGAGTTTAGGGTTTGGGGTTCAGGGTTTAGGGTTTAGGGTTCAGGGTTTAGGGTTAAAAGTTCACTGCCTTGCTTTTCTCTTCAGCCACTGCCATTCTGCAGTTGGGCCTGGGATCAACGTGTAACAGTGTAGGGTTTAGGGGTGTAGGGCTTAGGGTTTAGGGTTCAGGGTTAACAGTGTAATTAGCAGAGGAAAGGATGCGCGAGCAGACCAGCATGTCACAACTCTGCAACCGTACTTGAAGGTTCAGGGACAGTTGCAAATAGGGCTATGAGTGGAGCAGCTGTGCAACTGCCCAACCCCCAAAACAATCCACGCTTGGGCCGTGGCGAGAGACCATCTCGATGCGCTATCGACGCCAAGACGAAGTTCTTGCTTGTGAAGCTTCGGCAGGAAGAGTCGTTGCGACATGGTCAGTGGAGTGACGCCCGCAGCTGTGACACCGTCATACAGGCGTTCCTCCGCATCCGCTGCCACCATGGATGTGCACTCATCCAGCAATGCGAAATCCTAGGTTGTACGAACTAGGCTAATTATGAGTTGATGATGGTCATATAGTACACCGAAAACTGGAAAAAAGAACAAAATGGCACCAGTGGGCGTCCCAGATTCAGGCTGGTGGAACAAGGCGCGGCTCAGGGCTAAGCGCTGCTGCTCCCCGCCCGAAAGTACTTCCTCCCACGCGCAGTAGGCATTCCAACCATGCTCCTGCCGTTCCAGCAGATGCTCCAACCCAACCGCACTCAGCGCCTTTCCTGCTTGTCCTGCATCTTGGTCCAACCGGAAGCGCTTGGGGTAGGTGACCTGGTCCCCTAAACAGCCAGGGGCCAAATATGGCCTCTGTGGTACCTTGGTCGCCCAGTAACCAGATCATGAGAAGGGTACCCTTTTTTGGGGGCTGGTTACTTTATGAATATATATATATATATATATATATATAAATATCTATACATATATATATGGTATATATATAAGGAAACCTAGAACCCAAAAAAGGGTAAAAGGGTACCACTGGGCCCCCAAGGCTCAATGGACAAGGAGCGTGGAACTGAAACCTGCATGTCCCGTCCAGAGGTGTTCCAGAGTCCCAGCAGAACCCGGGCCAACGCGGTCTTGCCGGCCTTGGGGGGCACCAGGAGACTTAGGGTTAAGGGTTTAGGGTTTCGGGTTCCACAAAACCAGCAACGCTTTTGGGCCACAAGGCGCTCCATTACAAAGAGCTCGTGGCATGCATGTTCCACTAAGCCTTTGACAGCAGATAGGAATCATTTCATTAGTGGAAGGTTCAAAGGGTAGTTAAGTAGTAGTTACAAGTAGGGCCTACCTAGGGTTAGGCCAGGCCTACCTAGGGTTAGCGTTATGAGTTACCCTTCATCGGGTTATACATAAAGTTACAACCCTACTTAGAACTACCCATGAACCTCCAAGCACTTTACAGCGGAGCCTAGATCCTGGTAGGGCGCCGACCCCATTCGGACCCGTAATGAGGATCGGTGCGCCCTTATCGACCTGTGCGGCATAGGTGTGTTTTTGCAGGTGGTGTGTTCTAAGGGTTGGTGTTTTTGGGGTCTTTCAGGACGCTTGCAACTTTACGGGTTCGGATGTTTTGTAAAGGTGTACGTGTTCTTCGGGCTTTTAGGACTCTAGCTTAGGGTCTTTAGGGTTCAGCCAAGGTGGGGCATAGGGCTTAGGGCCTGTGTGAAGGGCTCTTGGGTTGATTTGAGGCTTTGAAGGTTGTTGAAAGCTTCTTGGGATGTGGTAGACTTGCTGGGGGTAATAGACCCTAGCCCTAAACCCTAAACCCTACACCCTAAACCCGAAATCCTAAACCCTAAGCCCTAAACCCGAAACCCTAAACCCTGGTACAACCTGTTGTCTACAGGGTTTGGGATTCGTTAGGAGCCTGTACAAGCCAGTGAAGCCCAACACCGCCTTGTGGTTTAGGGTTTAGGGTTTAGGGTTTGGGGTTTAGGGTTTAGGGTTTAGGTTTTAGGGTTTACGGTTGAGGGTTTAGGGTGTAGGGTGTAGGGTTTAGGGTTTAGAACAGGCTTTCAACTATTTGGGAGGGTTTTTTTTCTGGGTTGAGGGTACAGGTTTGAGGTGTATAAACATAGTTGAAGGGTATTGGCGGTCTTGGGAAGAAAATTTAGAGACACACCGGAGACTCACATATCCATTTAATTAAGGAATGTTCTGAAGTGATTTGAGGACTCCAATCGCAGCTTAAGGAAATTACCTAACCAAAGGACATGGCTAAAGCTGGCATCCCCAGCACCCTCGGCATGAAATGGGCGCACTTCTTGGTATTGGGCAGGAACCCTCAACGCTAAACCCTCGAAACCCCCAAAACAAGAAAACACGGGAGCTCGAGGAGATATCTAGATACTGAACCCTGAACCCTGAACCCTGAACCCTAAGGCAATGGACCCTAAGCCTAAACCCCAAACCCTAAACCCCAAACCTGGTTCATGGTTGGGATAGTATTAACGACTTAAATTCCTTTTCCTTATTGAGTTTAAGTACCCTTGAAACATGTAAAATGTTACCCCCACTATGACCAGAAACCTGGGAAGGGCTAAACCCTAAACCCCAAACCTCCCAAACTTCCCAAACCCCAAACTTCCCAAACCCCAAACTTCCCAAACCCCAAACCCCCAACCTGGAATGCCACGCGGCGCGCCTGGAACGTCAGGCCCTCTGCCAAGGTGACGCGATTGGGCGTCGCCAGCGTCAGGTTGCGCACAGCCTCGGTGCGGGCAGATGGCGGCTCCGAAGAACAGTGTCTTTCTCTACGCAGTAGGGTTTAGGGTTTAGGGTTTAGGGTTTAGGGTTTATGGTTTAGGGTTTCGGGTTTAGGGTAACCCTAAACCCTAAACCCTAAAGCGTAAACCCTAAATCCTAAACTTAGGGCCTGCAGGTGACAATAACTCTTTACGTCCTGTTGGCAACAACATCCGACCCTTATCCTGGCGGCATAACCAACATTTAAGCTATGCCACATCCAACGCTTATCCTGGCATGTCCAACACTTATTCTCTGGCATATCCGACACTTATATTGGGCATACCCGACACTTATTTTCGGCATACATTTCGGCTGATTTGAGGCATACCCAACACCTATTTGGGTGCATCCAGCACTGCTTTTGGGCATACCGGAAACTCCTTCAGGGCATACTCGGCAGCTATTTTTGGTGCTTTCTGTCACATGACAACAAGTACCAAGTTGAACCACAAGTAAAGAACAAATCCCCACCCAGGCCTCCAGATGTCCACGCTTTCATCTCCACTTCTGGTGCCCACTCTTTCTTCTCCACTTGCAGCATGTTATTTCAAACCAAGCGCCACAATCGCGCCAGCGACCGCATCTTGATTCTTGTGCGACACAACGCAAACATTCTACAAGGTGCACACCAACACGATGTACAGTGAGTATTGAAAGTGCGCGTTCAGAACCTGCACTACGATCATTACGCGCACAACTAGGATTAGGCTAAGGATTCGGGCGCTGCCACGGCTGTACAGGTGGCTTGCGAATCAAGCCGTATGATCGCAATCATCTTATATGGGTCAGGTTCATACTGACAACATTGCCGGCTTCCCGAACAACACGGCCGAGAATACACGAATTTGCGATTTCCATCTGGTTTTTTGAGACCTCAAAGTACTCTGAAGACGATGACTATGACTCATGACTGGTAACTTTGCCAGTCAATGCGAGAGATCAGCGTGCACAGCTCACTTGCAGAGTGACAACGGCTTGCCAGCGATCAGGCCAGCAACGTGCTGGTTCAGCAGAGGAAGGACTTTCCAGCCCCTCTTCTTCACGCCGTTGCTGGCCCGAACCACCAGTCCATTGCGTGTTTCTCCTGTCTTCAGATCTCGGCACAGGGCTTGCGAGATCGTTGCATTGCCCACCGTGCTGGCAATGGTTGACAAGACGACACCCGCCTGGGCGGACACCGGCTCGCCATCCACGTTCAATCTAACGGTGCGCGCGGGCTTGGAGGCTCTAGGGAAGTTGAAGCTTCGGGTTTAGGCTTTCGGGTGGGGGGACCCTAAAGCTTACACCCTAAACCCTAAACCCTAAACCCCAAACCCTAAACCCTAAACCCTAAGCCCTGAGCTGAAGCCCGAAAGCCTGAATCCTCGAGGGCTTGGGAGCTCGATGACGCTTCACGTCAGCGAGCATATGTGTCCTTAAGTATAGATTTAGGGTTTAGGGTTTCGGGTTTGGGGTTTGGGGCTAGGGTTCTGGGTTCAGGTTTCAGGGTTTAGGGGGTTGTAGTTAGAGCCCTAAACCTTGAATCCTCTCTCCTAAGCCCAAACCTTAAACCCTAAACCGTCAACCCTTTAAACCTTAAACCCTACACCTTTAAGTGCCCTCGTTCGCCCTCCCCCCCCCCCCCCCCCCCCCCCCCCCGATCCGAGGCAAGCGCAACATTCGAGCGCTCCTCGCCCAGAGCAGGCCTGGGCTGAGCCCCAAAGGGTCGTCGCCCTAAACTGGGCTTAGGACCTCAGGGATCTCAGGCATTTACGGCCTTAGGGTCGTAAAGCAAAGACCCTACACCCTAAACCCGGAACCCTAAACTCTGAACCCTAAACCCTAAACCCTGTATACTTAGGGTATAATTCGGAATTTCAGGGGCCGCCACGCTAAAATTCCAAAGGTTCGTACTAAGAGCTGTTGGTCTGCACACGAAAACCTAAACCCTAAACCTTAAACCCTAAATCCTAAACCCTAACCCCTACAGGGGTGTGGGAGGTGAGGGATAAAAGGCCCCGCAGTCCCAGGTTCTCCAGGAATCCCAGAGCCCTAAACCCTAAACCCCAACTGGATGTTGCTTTAAAGCCCTTTGAAAATTATTCATGAATAGGTTTCCTTAAAAGGGAAAGAAGGGAAATCTAACATTATCCCACAGCAATACCCAGCCAAACCCTACACCCTGAACCACAGAGCCCTGCATCCCGCAGGGACGCGCCGCTGAAACCGAAACCGACAATGGGGCTTCAGGGTTGAAGGTTTAGGGCTTAGGAGCCCCGAAAGCCTCTCCCTCCCCAACTCCGAAACTTAGAGCAAGCCTACATAGACCCTACTGCAAGCAAGGCCCCGAGCCCCAAAATGGAAAAAAGACGTGCCATTTTCATTGTAAATTCCCTAGACAAAAACAAAACCTAAACCCTAAACCCTGAAAAAAGATAAACAAAAAACCATTAAAACAAAAAAAAGACAGCCCCAAGACCTGAACACCTGAACCCTATTCCTGAAACCCAAGCCTAAAGCCCTATCATGCGAAGCCCCCAAAACCCTGTTAGGGAGCCCTAAAACTATAGCCTACCTAAACCCTGTAGGCCCTGAACCCTAGACCCTAAACCCTACATCCGAAAATCTAGACCCTTCTAAACACTAAAACCTGAGCCCTACCTAGGCTCAAGAGTAACCTAGGAATAAAATTGGTGCCCTTTCTTGCTTGAGAGGGGATTATAAGAGAACCTAAACCCTAAAAAGGGAATAAGGGCCTACTCTTGGTCCTAGCTACCCATCCTAAATCCCAAAAAGCCCTGAAGCCACCGCCGGGTGCTGGGCGGCTGGTCCCGGCCGGCCAGCTCCAGAGCCTGGCAATTAGGGTTTAGGGTTAGGGTTTAGGCTTTAGGGTTTAGGATGTCAGTTTAGGGTTTAGGGTTTAGGGTTTAGGGTTTAGGGTTCAGGGTTCAGGGTACAGGGTTCAGGGTTTAGCCTGGCAATTAGGGTTTAGGTATAGGGTTTAGAGTTTAGGGTTTTGCAGTTTTAGGGGCTTAGATTGCTTCTACGGAATTTAGGGCGTTTAGAGGGGCCTAGGTGGAAAAACGTTATGACTCTAAGGCTTTTAGGGTTCTGGGGTTAAAAGGGTTGCAGCTTTCGATTGTTGAGGGTTTGTGGGGTTAAGGGTTCAGGGTTTAGGGTGCTGACTGGTTTGACGGGTTTTAGGGTTTTAAGTTATTAGGGCTTAGGGGATTAGAGTTAAAGGTTGTAGGGTTTGGGGCTTCAGTGGTTTGAGGGATTTTAGGGTCTTAGGGTGTTAGGGCTTGAAGGATTTAAATGTGTTGAGGGTTTAGGATTTTGAAATGAAATGAAAGGCCAGGACCGGGCTGACGTCATCACGTCCATATAGCTTCGCCGAAACGTCGTAAAACATGGTGGCCATGCAAGTGACGAACTTCTCTTGGTGCATCCATCTGACGAAAGAATGAAAGCAAAGCGCACTTCATTGAATGCAATGTGTGCTGCGCAGCTTGCTCCGGCACACCACCTCACATGGAAAGTAACTCGCGCAGGAGCTGTAGCATGTGGGCATAGCTCAATGGACAAATTTCCGAACTATTTTTACCCATAGCGAGAAGGTCTGGCAATTAACCTCCATCCACAATGACAGGGCCAATCGTGGCCTGATCTCCGCGAATCAGTGAGGGTTTGGGGTTGAGGATTCTAGAGTCTTGGGGGTGAAGGGTTGAGGGCTTAAACCTAGATACCCGAAACCCGAAAACCATACCCTAAACCCCTCAACCATTAACCCCCAAAACGCAAAAACCCCAAAACCCCAAAACCCTAAACCCCTAAACCCCGCTTCCCTTCTGACACAGCCTCGCGCAGCTCCAGAAGCCGCGTGGCGCGAGAGTCCATCCTCAGACCAGGCGCAGCCCACTTGAAAACCTTATCTTTGTTGCTGAGTTCATAAGCACCAAAAAGCGTACACTTGCAGTTCTATAGAGGAATACATTATCCAAAAAAAGGTGCCCTATACCCGAACCGAAACAGAAGCCCTTCACCCCATGGGAGCGCAAGCCTTTCCCAAACACGGGGGCTTCCAAAAACATGAGGCTCTCCATGTACAAGAAGCGCGAAATCCGAAACCTTCAGCCCTCATCCCAAAATCCTAAAGCAAACACGCGAAGCCCAGAACCCCAAACCCTGAACTCCCAGCCTTAAGCCCTGAACCCTAAACTCCAACTGCTACACCCTGAAATCCTAAGCTCAAACCCTGAAACCCTAAACTCAAACCCTTACACCCTGACACCCTAAGCTCCAAACCTTGAACGCCCAAACCCTAAACTCTCCCACCCTCAAACCCTAAGCCCTGCACCCTCCAACCCCGTGGGCGCCCCGCTTTGCCAGCTGCGCCGGGAAGGACGTGAGCGCCTGCACGCCCACGAGGCTCATTGAGATGGTGCCTGGGAAGGGATGCAGGGGCTTTTGTGGTTTCCCTAAACCCTAAACCCTAAACCCTGAACCCTAAACCCTAAACCCGAAACCCTAAACCCTAAACCCGAACCCTGACCCCTAAGCCCTAAGCCCTAAACCCTGAACCTTAAACCATAAACCCTAAACCCAGCAAGAGGGACCAAACCTCGGGTTGGGCAGCCTGAAGCTATGATCCCGCCATCGGCAAGCAGGGTACAAGAGTCAGAGGTCGTTTTAGGGTTTAGGGTTTAGGGTTTAGGGTTTAGGGTTTAGGGTTTAGGGTTTAGGGTTTAGGGTTTGAGGCTTAGGGTTTAGGGTTTAGGGTTTAGGGTTTAGGGTTTAGGGTTTAGGGTTTAGGGTTTAGGGTTTAGGGTTTTAGGCGTTTAAGGTTTAGGGCAAAAGCGGGGTTCAGCCAAAGGCCCCGAGACTTCTGCATCCCTCTGAGCACCTCAAGTGTTTGCCTGGGTCTCGGGTTTTGGGGTCAAGGCAGGAGGCCCCCTAAACCCTAAACCCTAAACCCTAAACCCTAAACCCTAAACCCTAAACCCTAAACCCTAAACCTTCAACCCTAAACCCGCATGTTTCGACAGCGACAGCTGGGCTGCCGGCGGTCGTAGAGATAGTTCTGCACAGCCGACGCAGGGGATGCACCTTGCAGCAGCAGAGGCTGAAGGCTCCGGGTTTTTTTCAAAACCAAGGAGGCCCCCAAAAAACAAATTCACAAGCCCGAACATTCCTTCCCTCAACCCTAGAAGTCTAAACATGGTTTAGTATTAGGGCTTCGGGGCTCCCTAACTTAGGGTTTCGGGCTTTCGGGTTTGCGGGTTTAGGGATAGTCTCGGAATCTCTCAAGGAAAGCCCCCAAAAACCCTAAACCTAATCCCTATAAACCCTACAAGTCGCATAAACCCTACACCATAAGCCCATAAGCCCTATTCAGAAGCACAAACCATATCAAGCCTGCAAACCCCAAAACACGTAACACGTTACCCTAAACCCTGTAAACCCTTCGAGCCTACAAGCCCTAACCCCCAAAACACGTAACACGTTACCACAAAAAGCCCCGAGACCCTGAGCCCCTAAGTGGAGGTTTCCGAAATTCAAAGGGAATCCCACTATTTGGGGGGTCCATATTAGGGGGCTAAGCCCTAAACCCTAAACCCTAACCCTGAACCCTAAACCCTAAACCCTAAACCCCAAACCTCAAACCTCAAACCTCAAACCTCAAACCTCATTTTCGTAAACTCCCAAGTGGTTCGGGCATCGGCAAAAGATGACAGGGCAGCGGGAAAAGGCGCTTGCATCTGAAAAGAAATCCCTCGAAATCCCGAAACCTTGACACCCTCAACCCTGACCCCTAAACCCTAAACCCTTTACCCTAAACCCTGAACCCTTTACCCTAAACCCCAAACTCCATGAACACCCTGCCAAACTCCCCCGAATGCTCCCCTGCAAAAACCGCCTCCGACTGGCACGTTCCTCCATGCGAAGTTGAAGGAAATCAAGCGGTGGAACCTGGTCGGCTTCTAAGGCGCCAGTGTTTATGGGATTTAGAGGGATCGCAGAACCCCCAAACCCTAAACCCTTAACCCGAAACCCTTAACCCTAAACCCTAAGTTTAGGGTTTGGGGATTAGGGTCCAGGGTTTCGGGTTTTATAGGCTACAGCGCGTTTTGAGCTGTTGGGGTGGGCTTTGCTTTCTGGACTCCGTACACCCTAAAAACCCTCACCTCGAAACTCTCAACCCCTAAACCCTGAACCCCAAACCCAAAAACCCAAAACCCAAACCCAAAACCCTGAACCCCAAACCCAAAACCCCAAAACCCAAAACCCAAAACCCAAAACCCAAAACCCAAGACCCAAAACCCAAAACCCAAAACCCAAAACCCAAAACCCAAAACCCAAAACCCAAACCCAAACCCTGGGGCTTAAGGTTTAGGGTTACCCGGTTACCCCCGCCCCTCCCCCCCCCGCGGCCAAATCGGCAAGTTGTCGTAGAGGAGGAAGAACTCGGTCAGGAAGTTGTAGGTAAACTCCTGGCTGCTAAGGGCACTTGTAAACGATCCTTATGGGTGCACGTGTGAACATACATACATACATGTATATGTATACACACATATAATACATCTTTTCACCTGCGCTTATAGAATCATGCATTTCGCATTTGAGCGATACAAACAGCCGTGTTTCTAGTATGCTTGTAGGTGTCTTTTAACATTATACTTTTCTTATACTTATGCTTAACACACACACAACCCTAGACGCGCGCATCTGTTTTGGACCGATCGCACAACAGTGTGGGAGAGCCTTGCCCCATGGCAAAGGCCCTCCACACACAACACTGCCCGTCACGGGAAACCTAACTCAGCCACGTGGGGCCGTGAGCCCTTTCTCTAGGGCGGGAGGGTGGGACAATTCGTCGGCTGCTGCTTGAAGCCGACTTCAGCAGCACACAGGCAAACAGATTGAAAGCTCGACAGCTGAACACTCAAGTGCGCAACGCAACATGCTCAAGTGTGTAACACGCGCACGGGTGGCCGAGTGTTCGGAGCATGCGCTAGGGGGTTTCGGGCGGCTAGCGCAAGCAACCCAACACACACACAACCCTAGACGCGCGCATCTGTTTTGGACCGATCGCACAACAGTGTGGGAGAGCCTTGCCCCATGGCAAAGGCCCTCCACACACAACACTGCCCAAACCGAAGGGTGCGATCAGTTCAATGCAGATGCCCGGACACAGCTAAAACACCCCTAACCAACCGGGTGACCGGCAGATGCTTACCGCGTGCAACAAGACAACACTCAGGACTCCCACGGAGCCCTCAGCAACTGGTCAGTATCAGGCACCAGCCTGTTAGATGGACTCAAAGAGGCGGGAACGATGCCGCGGCTAAGTTGATCTGCAATACAGTTGCGAACGCCAGCAATATGAGAAACCTGAAGCTGAAAGTGGCAACGGCAAGCCCAGTACCCTAGAGCCTGAAGCACAAAACACAAAGGCTTGTGCATGGAAAGCAGCTTGACCGAGCACGCGGTCACGGCCTGGTTGTCGCAGAGCTGCGCAAACTGTACTAAGCAGAACCCTTCAGGCAAAACCCCCGATTCCCGTACACGCAACACCACGAGTGCAAGCTGAGCAAGAGCCTCGAACGCAGCAATGCAGCCCTGAAGTCCAGAACCGCCCTCACAATGGAACCATGTCGGCAGGTCGGCCGCTGAGAAAAGCATGCTGAACCAACGGGCCTGCGACATGTCTCCAGCAGCGTCGGCAGGCAACCAAAACCCACCTATACCTGCACGGTCGCGGGTGGCGAAAGCGTCCGCGGCACACACAGTAGGGCACGCCGGCGCAATGACAAGGGGAATCTGCACACGCTCTGAAACTGACCGAAGGAAGAGTTTGGCGGCGAAGGCGCAGTCAGAGTTCGGCCGAACAAACCTGCTCCCATACTCGAAAAACACCACCGAGACCTGACCGCCCTTAACCCGCGGGCACTGCAAGGCGGGGGCATCAAGGGAGCGAACTACCGTGTTGTTAACTGAATGCAGCTTCCAGCCATCGAGAATATCACAGCAAGGCACACTGCCATGAACAACGAGCCGATCGCTGAGGTGATCTAGCAGATCACCAAACTGCTCCAGCGTCAAGAGGCGACAAGTCGTCAAGGGCTTATGCAGCAGTGCATAGAAGCTTTGCAGCCAGGGGCGCAGCCAGAAGGCGCCGCACGTGAACCACAAGAGCAGTCCTATCACGCGCTCCACATCTTTACGCAGCATCTTGACTCCCGACCTAAGTAGAGGCTGGAGAAGTCCAACGCACTTCTCGGCCTTGGCTTCGGGCAGGACAGCAGTGAAAGAATCGAACTGGAACCGCCAGCCGATCCAGGAGAGTTGCTGGGAGAACTTCAGCTTCTCCCAACTTAGGGGGATGCCCAAACTGCACAAAAACATGACGCTGGTTGCAGCGACCAGCGGGGCAACGCTAGAAGGCACAAGCAAAATGCCGTCGTCCACGTACAACATAAGCCCGTGCGGAATGCGGACGAATTGATGTAGGAACCTAACCAGCATCCCGCCTAACCTGGAGAACCAGTACGCAGCCCACCTGCATCCAAAATAGCAGAAACGATAGCAATACCACTTCCCCTCAAGAACAAAACAGCTAAAGCCACGCTCTGCTTCCCGCACAGTGACAAGCTTGTGTGCTCCGCGCACATCGAAGCAAAGCGCCGTCCAGCAAGACCCCGGCGGGGCAGAACTGAGGAAGCGCTGCAGTGAATGCAAGGTTGGAAGGTGCACCTTCTCGAGGATGAGACACATGGCGTTGGCACCACTCACAGAGCCATCGCCAATTAACCTGGGGTTTTTACCTGCAGCATGCACAACACCAAGTTTTCCGGCTGCCAAGTTTTTCCCCCAGCGAGAGCGTGCAGCGGACTCACCGCCAACTACCTCGAACAAGTGCCCGGCATCGATGTCCTTCTGCAATAATTTCCTGGTTAGAGCAGGATCCTCTGACCCGCTGCGCCAAGGCTCAAGGTGCACAAGGAGTTCCTCTGGCAAGGTGGGCTCGGCAGCTTCAACAGGGTCCCAAACCCCGGACGGTGGGATGGGTTGTAGAACGCCGGTGGGCACGCCCTCGCGCAGGACGGAAGGCAAGATGGAGTCAATGTCACCGGTCATCTTGCATAAAGCTTCCCAAACGTCTAGCAGCAATGGCTGGAACTCAGCAATCGCCGCAGTGCAAGGGAATCCTTTCGCGCATACAAACTCCACTAGGCAATTGCGAAGCTTCCCAATCTCATCGGCTGAGAAAAGGCAGTCTGCGCTTGCAGAATCCAACAGGGACCTTAGCCGACCCACTAAACCCCACTCAACCACCAAAGAACCGAACATTTGCCTTAAACCCCGAAAGTGATCCCGCGCAACCAACGGGGAGTGCCACGCAGCACTGGACCCGTTCCCGCCGCCGTCAGGGATGTGCAGTCGAGGCTGATGATCCCACGCAGGCACCGACTGAATGACATCGGGCGCAGAAGAGACAGTCTTCGCCGGCTGTGCAGTACAATGTCTGGGAACAGGACACAACGCTGCCTCACACACAGTATCAGGAACTGAGATCGGAAACACGCCCGATCGGTCAGGCAGATGAGGTGTCACTTCAGAATACGCTGACGCACTCTTCAATCGGACACAGCGTCCACCCGACGCAGGATGGTCCTCTACAGCTGGACCTAGTCACTTTTTGGGACATGTCCCCCCACCATGAGAGTCCGAGAAACAAACATTGCACTTATGAAGGAAACGACAGTCATCCGCAGAGCGGGAGCACTTGCCCTCCTGGAAGGCATTGCAGAAGGCATTCTTGACTCTCTTGGCAGGCGCCAGCTCAGTGTTCTGATTCTTCCGTTTCGGACCCTTGGGCGTGGGAGGAGGAGGAGGCTGCCTGGGGTCCTTGAGGGTTGGCGTGGGCTTGTTTGGGCCCTTGATCACACGGGGCTGGGGAACAAGCAAGCCACGCAGCATGCCTCGGTCCGTGACGACAGTGGCAAATGCATCATCCAAGGACGAACCCTCAAAGGCTAATTCAAACACCGCACACATGGCACATTTGTCCGCTTCTTCGGCTTCCTGAATGTTTGGTGCCCGGAAGCCCTCCGGTGGCTTTTTGGTGTACAGAGCCATAAAGGCCTGGGTGTACAACCCCCAAGAAGACAAATGCCCTGCGCCGCACATGCAGTACGCGTGGGAGCGCACAGTCAGCAGCTTTTCCACACGATAAGCTGAACCACCGAGATCAATATCAAGTTCGTCATGCACCAAGCCAGCTGCATGGGCCAATAGGTCGGCGACCTCAAGGGGCTGGCTTCCACGCTTCCTGTCCTTGATCTGCCCGACATTTTCTTCGCTGAGGACACGCTTCCAACACAGCCACTCCCAAGATTTAGACGCGCACTGGGACTGCACACACTGCAGGAAACTAAGGCCCGGCAGCGTCGAAGGAGCAAGGACCACTCCCGAGTAAGACTTTTCGAAGGCACGCTTCAGCTTGTCACGCTCAGCTGTGTTTAAACGCTGCTGAGGGACACCAAGAGAGAGTAATGAGGACGCATTGAGCGCAGGTGCTGCGGGTGGGAAAGGTGCTGGCGGCAAGCTGCCGGCCGCAGGCAACGGACCAGCGGCAATGCTAGCACGTGCTTTTACCCACAGCGCACGCAGGGATCCCAGCACAGGATGAAACTTCCAAGTCACATCTGCTGCTTCCTCTGGAACCAACTTGGCCTCCTTCAGCAGCGAGTGAGCAAACAAGTCCAAATGCGCTTTCTCGTCGAAGGAATGCGCAAACACTTGGAGGGAGCAATAACTCGAGGACACCTTCTTCAAGATCGAATCAGGCACTCCCGTTGCGCCTAATGACTCCAACCACTTGGAATCGTCGCCCATTGCTCCACGCAAGCAGCAACAAGCAGGCACAAACAACCAATCGCAAGCGCCAGTACTGGCTGACAACTTAGGTGATAGCTCAAGAATACGCGAGTACCTGACAGAAAGTGATCACGCACTCAAACTCAAGCAGCACCAACAACAATGCGCAAACTGGATGAGTCCCGTACTAACAGCGCACCCTTGCACGCCCGGGACATCCAGACTAACAACGACATCACGTAGGACCGTGCGATGTTGGTCGCAAAGCGAACTAGGGGGCCCGTACTCACGACGCACACATGTGCGTCCGGGACGCCACCCAAACTGCGCTTGCAGTAACAAGCAATCACACCTGAGCTTTCAGGTAAGCAAAGCATCATTGCGTCTGTCCAAAGCATCCCGTATGCTGACAAGGGCTAAATCCTGCAAACTGCGGGTCATCTTGCGACAAACTGTAGAAGTCGCGCAGCGCCAGCGAAGGCCGGCACGCCAACCGCCAGTTGGCCAAGACCAGGCGCGAATCTTCAACATCAATCTTCACCGCGCGATGAAAATACCCGGAACTGCCGTTGACGATCCACACGCCTGCACAATTGGGGTGGGCGCACTCATGTTCTGACCCCGACGCAACGCTTTCGTCTTCACTGGAGATGGCATTGTCTGTGTCCGAAGAGGAGCTGCCAGGGCTGCACATACGCTGGGGCTCGGAAATACTTTCCTCGCCCTCCTCCTCGACCTCGTCCTCGTCCTCGTCCCCGGTATCTGAGCAGGCTTCGCAAGGAGCATCAGATGGCTTTGGCATAGTGGCCGCAGCCTGAGCACGGGCAAAAAAGGACTCCGCCTCTTCTAAAGTCATGCAACCCCGGTTCAGGGGTGTTGACGGAACCCAGCCGCCAGCAATCGCACCAATGACCTTTGATTGGCAACGTATAGCCGGGATGATATCGTTCCGCCCGTACCGCGGCACGCACCGAGCAGTGCCGTTGAAGCGGTGATGGCCCTGAGCTGCCTTCTCAGGCTCGGCCACCTGTAGTTGGAGGGCCCAGGCCAGAACAGTAGTTTTCAAAGAATGAAGAGTGAACATGTGAACGTGCTCCCGCGGAACACCACCGAAATGCACCAAGCAACGACGCAACTGTGCCAGCATGCAGGAATATCCTATGGGTTTGTCGAAACTGCCAACCAAGAAATCGCGCTTAGGAAACTGAGAGCGCAGTTGGCAAACTCTGTCATAGAAGCGCGCTCCCCAGTTGCAGCCTGTACAGCCTTTGCTGAGGACTCCGAAGGGCATGCCTCTGGGAGAAGACTTGGTGCGCCAACACCACCCTCTGACCTCGCCCCGGCTGGAACAGATGGAGGAAAGATCCATCCGTTGAGCATCACTCCAACGAAGACTGCCCCAAATCATCAACAAGCAGCACAAAACCACCCATTCTCCGTCTCCAAGATCCTGCATGGTTGCAAGCTCCAAGTTGCGAACAACCCAAAGTGGAAGAGGAACCGCCTCCTTCACTGGCATGCTGTCCCACATACCTTGGCGTGACCAAGCCTGTACCAGGGGGTTGGTAAGCGACGCGTGAAGCATTGAGAGCTGTAGCTTATAAGCAACAAATTTCATTGCTGCCAGTACGCCCGAGGCAGACTTGGCACGCAAGCGGCCGCGATCGCTTCGCACTCCTTCAGATAAGCTTTTCACGAAATCGACAACCTGCGTGAGGGATGGAGAAGCGGCGCTCCACTCCAACGCGCTACAGAACTGCAACCAGCGTTTCCATCCCGAGATATGCCGACGCAAAGTAGATGGCGCCCGATCGCAGAACAGAGGGGCAATATCATTGACAGACACACATGTACCCATAGCAACAAGCACACTGCTTCCTTCTGCGCCGCCAAGATGAATGCAGAACTTAGCCAAGGTTGACGCCAACATCAAGCGATCTTGTTTCTCATGGTCACGAAGACAAGACTCGCCAGCAGCTGCGCCAGGCAGCTCATGTGGGATCTTGGGGGCCCTCAACACACTGTCTTGGACGCCTGGAGACACGACTGCGCCGGCAAACGCAAGCTCCATCCCCTGCATCGTCGAAGAGCGAGAGGTGGTAGAACGCCGGATAGGCCGGGGTACGCCCATGCCCAGGTTGTCCAAGCTGTACGGCGACGCGGTGACCCGGCGGCGTGGCCGCTCCATAACAACAGCAAGAACGCAGAGCACACAACAACAATTCGTCGGCTGCTGCTTGAAGCCGACTTCAGCAGCACACAGGCAAACAGATTGAAAGCTCGACAGCTGAACACTCAAGTGCGCAACGCAACATGCTCAAGTGTGTAACACGCGCACGGGTGGCCGAGTGTTCGGAGCATGCGCTAGGGGGTTTCGGGCGGCTAGCGCAAGCAACCCGTGCTTGTGCTTATACTTGTGCATTTCCTCGTGCTTGTACTTATGATTAGAAACAGGCTTGGACTTGTCTACTTCTACTTACACTTGTGCACATACTCTGGCGTACACTTACACGAATACTTGTACTTGCCTTTTTTCTTACACTCATTTTTGGAACAATGTTTTGCCATTTTTAGTTGTAGTATATTTGTAGTATATTTCTTCATTGACTCACTCACTCGTCTTGACTTTGTTTTTTGTATAAAGAGATGCTTGCATTGCCATTTGTTAGATGTCTACAAACGGACTAGCGTTTATTGATGATTTCTCATGTCTTATGCATCCTTTTATCAGTGGTTTTTACTTGCACATGCACTGCAGCTGGGACTTCTGGAGAAAATGAGTTGACATATGGCCCCTTACCACTATTGGAAGGTTCTGATGCAGGAGCCCTTGGTGTTTGGAGGGTGCAATAGGCTATGTCAGGGGCTCCAAGGATAAGGGATTCGGTTTAGGGTTTGGGGCTTTGGGGCTTAGGGTTTAGGGTTTGGGGTTTGCGGATGAGGGCCCTCCGCTGAAGAACCCCCGAGCCCTTGACTAAGACTTACTTGCAGGCCCATGGGTGCATAGAGTTGTAAGTAGGACAACTGTCCTGATAATCCTAGTTAAGACACACATGGCTTCGAGCTTCGGGCCGACAAATTTAAACTAAGGGCTTCGGGTTGGCCCCTGCACCCTAGTTGGGGCTCCCTCTGGCCCTGTACTCAGGGGCTTGAACCTACCAACTTGTGGGATTTGCCGGGTCGCATGTCAAAACCTTATGTTATAGTAGAAGGGTAGACATCGCAAAGAATACCCTCGAATGCCTGCCTGCTGCAAGGAATGCAGGCGCTGATCGCACAGCCTGAGGCCGCTTGGGGGTTAGGGTTTAGGGTTTAGGGTTTAGGGTTTAGGGTTTAGGGTTTAGGGTTTAGGGTTTAGGGTTTAGGGTTTAGGGTTTAGGGTTTAGGGTTTAGGGTTTAGGGTTTAGGGTTTAGGGTGAAAGTTCGGTTTCCTTTGCTTTGTGATTTGGGTGGTAGGGGGTTGCAGGGGTGCCAGGGGTGCCAGGGGTGCCAGGAGGGCTATCAAGACCTAATGAGCCTTAGTGTCCCTTAAGTAGTCCTTAAACCCTGAACCCTAAGCCCTAAAGCCCTAAGCCCGAAGCCCTAGTGTCCCTCAAGTACCCCCTATTCTGAAATTCTTTGCGGCGTCCCAGTGGATCCGCCCTTCGAACTGCGAACGGTTCTTGGGCTTATTTGGGGCTTTGGGGGCTTTAGGGTTTTAGGGTTGTAGGGTTCTAGGTTTTAGGGTTTTAGGGGTTTGGGGTTTTGGGGGTTTGGGGTTTTGAGGTTTTGGGTTTCGGGGTTTTAGGGTCTATGTTGGGTGTCGTCCCCAGCCCTAACCGCCCAAAGTGCCCCAGCGGCAGGCCATGCTGTGCACTGTGGATAAACTCAAGCATCACGTGAAATCCCTCTAAGGCTTCATGTGCCCGCGATTATTTGTATTATTATTATTATTATCATTATTATTGTTGTTGTTGTTAGTATTATTTCTTATTATCATTACTATTACTATTACTATTACTATTACTATTACTATTACTATTACTATTACTATTACTATTACTATTACTATTACTATTACTATTACTATTACTATTACTATTACTATTACTATTACTATTACTATTACTATTATTATTATGACTCTTGTTATTACTAGTATCATTCTTATTCTTATTGTTATTCTTATTATCATTGGTATTATTGTTTATTATGATTTTCTTGTTTTTGCCAGGGGGGGGGGGGGGCGTTAGGGTTTAGGGATTGATTCATTCGTACGACCGACCGATTGAGAGACGACGATCACTCCCCAGGACTCAACAAGCGCCGACCATGCCATGAGCGGCATGGTGACCATCGGATGAGAGACAAATTCAACACAATTCAGCTGGGGATACCCTAAACCCCGCAATTTAAGCCCGAAACTCGAAACTACACCCTAAACCCTAAACCCTAAACCCTAAACTAAAGTGTAAACCCTAAACTAACCCCTAAACCCTAGGGCTCAGGTTTACTGCGGGCGTACCTCTCGAAGTGCTCCTCCATCCGTTGTCTCTCGACCTCCGCAAGGGACTTTGGATATGGCTGCGCGTGCCTTAATTAGGGTCCAGGATTTAGGGTATGGGGTTTAGGGTTTAGGGTAATATGAACCCAAAGCCTAAACCCAAAAGCCTAAACCCTAAACCCTAAACCCTAAACCCTAAACCCTAAACCCTAAACCCTAAACCCTAAACCCTAAAGGGTTTAGGAGTCTAAGGTTCAGGGCTTCGGCTTCTGGTTCCAAGTGAGGCCAGAAGTAGGGCAACTTGAGCTGCAAATTTGATGTAACCTCGTTGTGGGCACTGAAAACCCTTACTTTGGGTTTAGGGTTTAGGGCTTAGGGTTTAGACTTTACGGTTTAGGGTTTAGGGGTTAGGGGTTAGGGTTTAGGGTTTAGGGGTTGTCACACAAGCTGCCCACGAACCTTGGAAGCAAAACCCCAACCCCTACCCCTGAACCCACCTGAGACTCCATTTGCCTTTAGCTGTATGCCTGTATGGGTTCTACCGTTCGACCTAACCCTAAACCCTAAACCCTAAACCCTAAACCCTAAACCCTAAACCCTAAACCCTAAACCCTAAACCCTAAACCCGGAATTAAGGAGCAACTCCCAAAATAGAGTCACAGGTGAGACCTTGAACCCAAACCCTAAGCCCCAAACCCTAAATCCCTAAACCCTGAGCCCCAAAACCCTAAACACTAAGCCCTAAACCCTAAGCCCTAAGCCCCAAGCCCCAAGCCCTAAACCCTAAACCCTAAAATCGAAACCGTGAACCCCAAACCCGAAACCCTAAAATCCAGCCTCACCGCCGCCCGAGAAGGCCACGGGCTCGGAGACGTGCCGGACACGGCTTTGCGAGACCTGCTGTGGGGGCTTAGGGTTTAGGGTTTAGGGTTTGAGGTTTCGGGTTTAGGGTTTAGGGTTTAGGGTTTAGGGTTTAGGGTCTAGGGTCTAGGGTTTAGGGCTAATGGTTTAGGGTTTAGGATTAAGGTTTAGGGTTTCGGGCAGCTACATGGGCCCTTTGCATGGGCCCGTCATTTGGGAACCCTTCATATAACCTTTTTTTATGTACCCTATACAAACCAAGGGCCCATAGTTCACAACCCTTTGAGGAAGGTAAGGGGCCATGTACCGGCCCTTAAATGCGGGCGTTGAGGGCTTATTCCTGAACTTGGATTTCAGGGTTTAGGGTTTAGGGTTTAGGGTTTAGGGTTCAGGGTTTAGGGTTTAGGGTTCAGGGTTTAGGGTTTGGGCTTAGGGCGAAGGGTCTGGTTATCTCACACGGCCTGTCCAATAACCCCCAGCAGCACGAAGACGCTGAGATCTGCATCTGTTAATTTCGCCTCGTCCACGACCCATGTGGGTCTTGTTTTCTATGTGCCTATGCCCGGTGGCTGAGTTCCTCAGTATAAGCATGTCTTCGCCAGCTTGGGGTCTAGAATTTAGGGCTTCGGGTTCAGGGCTTAAGGGTTAGGGTTTACAGCTTAGGGTTTAGGGTGCCCGAAGCCCTCGAAGCCTTAAACCCCAAACCTTACACTGAATTCAAGCCTCTCCATCCGCTGTACCTTCAAAGCGCTAGAGCCCTGTAGCCTCAAACGGGCTTTGGGCTGTGGGCTTTTGGGGTTTAGGGTTAGAAGCAGAACCCCGAACACCTCTAGATTGGGAGAACAAAAAACCTCTAATTGAACCCCCTTAAAACACCCCAAACCCCCCAAAAGGCCCTGACCCCCCCCCCCTCCCCCCCGTTTTGGGGGGTTGGCGACTTTATAAGGAGACCTTAAACCCTCAGCCCTTATCAAGCCCTAAACCCTAAGCACTAAACCCTGGCGGGTCCACAACAGACCCGCGCAAAACTGTGGCCCCATCAGCAAACCTGAGTTAGGTCACAGCCTTTAGTGTTGAGAAATCAAGAACTTCCAGCCATTTCTGCCCAGAAGAAGGTTTAACCTTCTCGGAACGGATTAGACGATGTAGACCATGGACATCATCATGCTTGGGCCATGGATGCTCTCTTCTCATCAGAGCAGAATAGACCATTGAAGACATCATGCTTGGACCCTGTATGCTCAGAACAGAGTAGACCATGGACGTCATCATGGTTGGGCCATGGCAGTGCAGAAAACATGTAGACCATGGACGTCATCATGCTTGGGCCATGGATGCTCTCTTCCCAGAACGGATTAGACTATGGACGTCATCATGGTTGGGCCATGGATGCTCTCTTCTAACTATGGTGAAGCAAGCGTGTTATTTAGACCCAGGGCTGGGCAGAAGCGGATGCAAGCAAGACAGGGCTTAGTTTAGGACACGTCGAAAGTGCGAACTAGTGCAAAAACCCACAAATACCAGTGTAGTCTACGGATGCCCAAAAAATTGCAGGAAATTTTAGATAAAAATTGCGGGAATGAGGTGATGGGCGAAACCCAGGAAACATCGGTATTTACAGGGGATTGTGAGGGCAACAGAACTAAACTGCCGAAAAAGCGTGGGTCTGTTATGGCCCCGCCTAGCACTAAACACTAAACCCGAAACCCTAAACCCTAAACCAAGCACCTGAAACTGGTCTTCCAGCGCGGACGACTGCGCCGTCAGCGCCTGCCAGGATCCAGTGGAAAGCGCAAAGGTGGGTTTGCTTTCTCACTTATGGGGGTTTGGGTTGGCTTTAGTGG